ATCAAATTAACAACTTCTTTTCTCAGTGCATATATACATATATGTATATATATGCGCCCAACTATGTTACCGATAATTTTATTTATGTATCATCTTATGTATCATTTTATTGTAAATCGTAGGCAATAACGTCCTAGCAAATATCACTGTGCGTAAAACAGAAAACATCGAAAATGCGATAACATTACTGTTAGTGAGTCGACAAATGACTTTTAAACAATGTTTTTATTAACGTTCGTTCGAAAAGTTCTTCACAAGAGTAACTAATCGCAACAACTTTCAGTTACTATCACAATTTTCAATGCTTCCTATCGTGTAACAAGAAGTTTTTGGAGTCTCTCTGAAATCAGTAATAGTGAAATAAAGTTTTGTATTAAAATAATTTTAGATATAAAAAAGCTCGTTATGTCATCCAAACATAAACTAAAAAGAACTCAACTTTCGAAAGAATAGCACATTCAAATTCAACAGAGATCAAAAGATGGTATCTCGACAAACATAATTGCTGCAGAATTTGGAATTGCTAAATCATCTGTTCGCAGAATAGTGAATAAAGAAATATCAGTGAAGCAAGTAGCAGACATGGAAAGAAAGAAGAGCCGGTTTATCAAATATAAAGATTTGGACCAACAATTGTTTGAATGGTATCAAGAGTGGAAAGCATCGGGGAAGACAAGTTCCTACGAGATACTCTATGAAAAAATGAAAGAAATCACAGACAATGTTGAGGGACCATTAAACTCAAAAAGGCGTCATGAATGGTTGGAAAGATTTATAAAATATTACGGGATTCAACCAAAGCGCATGGTAAAATTTAATTATCAAAAGACGGAAATGGTATCAATTAATTGGTTGTTAAAACAGAGAATATTAGCATGTGTATATGCAAAATCGAAATTTAAAAAGAAAATTCTGAAATTTATGGCCAAGTTTGGTGGACCATTATTACCTGAGGGACGAAAAACGTGGCTGCGCAGATTTGAAAAATGTCATAAAATTTTGACAAAGTCTGTCATTTTGTCAGAAGTAACAGATGATCAATCTTATCATAATTTGGATAAAGAACTATTTAATTGGTTGCTAGAGCGGAGAAAATTAGGAAATATTTCGTACGAGATGTTTACAAAGAAAACATTGAAACTTATGGACGAGTTTGGTGGACTGTCAAAAGAAATGCAACAAAAAAGCTGGCTGTGGAGAATTAAGAATCGTTATAATCTGCAAAAGTCTCGAAGGACTAATATTTTGCAAAATGTCAGCCAAAGAGATGACGAAGCTAATCAATCTAATGCGTAAAAATTTGTTCAAGAATTTAGTTAACGGTTAGAGAAGGAAAATATTGACAGAGAGAATATTTATAATATGATCGAAAAACATACGTAAAATCTAAAAACACGAGATAAAAACAGAAACAGAAAACACTCAAAAATATTTTATGCCAATTAATAAAAACTAATTAATAATAAAGTAGAGGAAGATTTTAAACAAGAGCTTCAAACGAAATATCAAACGACGTACTCAACTTTGAGGGAAAAATCGAAAAAAAAAGGATTTTAAAGGCCGATTGTTCCGATTTCTTGGTAGATTTACCCGTCAATCACCCGTTAGGTGTAAATGTCAGTAATTGTTGTTTTATCTATTGGTAAAGTTTACCTACGGGTTAAATTGTTATCACCAAGAGGTCATTTTACTCGGTATTCCAATTACCAAATAAGGTCTCTATTTAACAGGTAAAGTAATGATCTTAGGTTATATTATGTTTTACGTTATGTTTTATTATTGAGAATATTGTGACGTTTTAGATTCTATTTTACTGACGACATGGCTTTAGATGTATATGTGGAACTTTTTGAACATGAGGAGGAGGAAAATCATGATATATTAATTTTAATTTGCAAACCATATACTCTTCGACCGCGGTCAGATTTAAATATGTATGATGAAAACAAATTTATTGCACGATTTTGTTTGTGTAGACGTCAACATAACGCTTTCTCTTATTTTACTCCTTTTTTTTTGTTGAAATATGTGATATTTTTTGTGTGAAATATGCAATATTTATATGTTTGTTTTTCCTCTATATGGGCAGAGTTTGGCCAAATATATTTTAAGTAATAAATTATAAATAAGGAATAGAACACTACATTTATATGTAAACAACGAAAAATATTTTATTTGAAATTAAATATATCTCTTAGCAATCAAGAAATTTTTATTTTTATTTATATTAGAATTTATTTGACTAAATTAATTCCAATTTTTATTTTAATACAAATTTATTCAAATTGTTTATGTGTATACGTGCGCCCAACTTTATTTGTCATCTTATAGATCATCTTATTGTAAATCGTAGGCAATAATGTCCTAGCAGATATCACTGTGCATAAACAGAAAACATCGAAAATGCAAAAATATTATTGTTAGTGAGTCGATAAATGACTTTCAAACAATGTTTTCATTTACATTCGTTCGAAAAGTTCTTCTCGAGATTAACTAACCGCAACAACTTTCAGTTACTAGCAGAATTGTTAACGCTTCAAAACCTCGTATCGTGTAGCAACAAGTTTTTGGAGTCTCTCTGAACTCAGTGAAACAAAGTTTTGTATTAAAATAATTTTAGACATAAAAAAAGCTCGTTATGTCACCAAGACATAAAATAAAAAGGAAACAAACTAAACTTTCGAAAGAACAGCTTATTCAAATTCAACAGAAATTGAAAGAAGATATCTTCACAATTAAAGAAATTGCTATCGAGTATGGAATTTCGAAATCATCTGTTTATAGAATAATGAATAAACAACTATCAGTGGAGCAAAGAATAAGCAAGACGATGATCCAGAAAGTCAAGAATCAAGAATTGGACAAACAATTGTTTGAATGGTATCAAGACCAGAAAGAACCAGAGAACACAACCTACAAGCAACTTCTTGAAAAAGCAAAAGAAATCAAAAACAATATTGGAGCATCAGTAAATTTAAATAGCCTTCATAATTGGCTGAAGGGATTTATAAAACATCATGAGATTCAACTAAAGTTTGAGATTTATAGTTTCGGTTACAAAGAATTAGAAATAGAATTAATTAATTGGTTGCTATTAGAAATAATATCAGGACGTACAGTTTTAAATAAAATTCTTAAAAATAAAACACTGGAACTTATGGAGATATTGGATGGACCATTAAACTCTCATGCAAAAAAAATCTGGCTGCACAAATTTAAGAAATGTCATAAGATTCTGATAGAGTTTGCTATGTTAGAAAATCGCATTGAAAAATATGATGAAACCATTCAATCTAATAAAAACTTGGATGATCAACTACTTAATTGGTTGCTAGAACGGAAGAAATTGGGAGATACAATTTCATTAGAGATGTTTGCAGATAAAGCATTGAAACTTATGAACGAGTTTGATGAATCGTCATTGGAAACAGAAGAAAAAAGCTGGCCGTGTAGAATTAAGAATCGTTATAATCTACCAAAGTATCGAAAGATGTTTCAGATTTTCCAAAAAGATGATGAGGCTAATCAATCTAATGTGGAAAAAATAGAAGAAGAAGAAAATTCGACAGCAGAATCGCACAAATTAAAGAAGTTAAAAAATGTAAAGTCTTGCGATACATTGCCAGACGACTTTGACTCATTGTCAGGCGTGATAATAGAAGATATTGATGAAAGTATTGTAGAAGCTATGGTAACAACAAGAGTAAAAAGTCCGAATTTTGATGATATATTGTTTGATAAACCGGAATACCCTGATTTTCCAACAGAGTGAATACTGAGTTAAGTGAATACTGAGCTCTTCCAAGCTGAAAAAGAAGGATAATTTAATAGAATATTTCTATTTTTATGTAAAAATCGGAAAAGAAGAACATCAGGAAATGAATTGGAAAATAATGAATGCGCAGAAAAGACTGAAAATGATGAAAGAAGTATAGTATCCAGCTAATCAGATTTATGCCCGGTTTCTTCATCTTCCGATAACTTTATCCGACAAATACCTCGCAGAATCGACGAATTGAATCATTCGACGGACACCTTTATCTGGAGGATAGCTATCGGGAGGTGTGAAGAAACCGGGCATTAGAGGATAAAGAGATGAGAAATTTTTAAAATTATATTTGCATAGACGGCTTGAGACAAGTTGCTAAAATTATATATATATATGCACACACATACATACATACATATATTATATAATTTTATATTATCGAAGATTTTAAAATTTTAGGTTATCGAAGAGTTTTCTACGGATGTGATTAATATAATGCATACAAGAGAAAAAATGAATATTTTATACATATATATAAATAACCTTTATATTGTCTCTTTTCCTCTTCTTATTTCTTAGTTGCACATAAACTATTGATTTGTATTTTCTCTGGAAATCATTTTTAATTGTAAGAATTTATTTGTAAATATTAATATAATGTGTGTATTTATGTATTACAATACTTTAATACACAATGGGTTTATAATTACAGAGTTAAAATTTATAAAAATCTGTGTGCCAGAAATTAATATATAACATAATATATTATATATTAATATAATAAAATAATATATAATATATTAATACAATAAAAAATAAATAATGAGTTTGGACAGCAAGATTTAATTATTATTTGTATTTTTAAGCAAAAATGAAAATTTTTCAAACTATTTGTGATGCGGGCTAACTGTCGGATATATCAAATTAATTAATCAAACTGATAATATTTTTATTTGAAATAAAAGAATTTTGTATTTAATGAAAAAAATGAGGTCGGAAGTTTTTAACAATTTCTTTGCATTCTGAGAAAAAGTTTTATTAAACATTTTTTTGTGTCACGAATTAAATTATACAATATGTTTTAATATTATCTGACAGGCGCGCTTTAGTTTTAAATATGAATGATACTTAATATTCTAGTGTCTCTCTTTAAATTTAAAACTGCTATTTATTACATCTTTTATAATACTCTTTTTTTGTTATACATGGTTTCTTTTCTTTTCTATATCGTTTTATTTAGTTTATTTTGCAAACTCTATCTAAAAAATAAATGTTTTGGTACATAGATTTTTATGACTTTTAATTTTTCAATTGTAGACTTATGACATATTCTGAACCGACATATTTTAAGCAAGTCTTTTATCTTAATTATACTTGCTTGCTATACAATAAAATAGATTTTGTTCGTTATAATACGCAAATTTTTAAAAATCTACTTTGCAAATTACAGAAAAATCAAGTGAGTGAACATTATTATATGATTGAAAATTATTCGAATGAGATCATATTTCATATTATGTCATGATCTCGATAATTTTAATGATTTAATATATGTTATTAATTATTTTTTTGCAATAAAGAGCAAAGTAAATAATCTCAATGCGCAAAAGATTTTAGTATTACAATTTTAGGATTCATTAAAAATATAATTAAAAATAAAAATGTTGCGTTTTTTTATCTAAGTTAGATTGTAGAAGATAAGAATCAAATTGTGCATGGTGAAAAACTAAATGATATAAAAAAAAATATTGTCAGAAACTTTTATGGACTTAAAATTAATTACGATAAAACTGTTTGACAAACAAGTCGTTGAAGATTTATTATTAATTTTATTTTATTAATTTACCAATCAATCTGATAAAAATTTGGATAACCAACTACTTAATTGGTTGCTAGAGCGGAAAAAAACGGGAGATACAATTTCATATGCGATGCTTATAGATAAAATATTGAAACTTGGACGAATTTGATGGACCATCAAAAGAAACGGGAAAAAGAAGCTGGTTGTGGAGAATTAAGAAACGTTATAATCTGCTAGAGTCTCGAAAGACGCATGAGATTTTGCAAAATGTCATCCAAAAAGATGATGAAGCTAATCAATCTAATATAATAAAATTTATTCAAGAATTCTGTCAGCAGTTAGAGGAGGAAAATATTGATAAAGAGAATATTTATAATATTATTGAAACACGCATAGACGTCATATAAAAATGTCTTGTTCCAATCTTGCTAGGCCAACGTGCAGACAAAAGAAAAATCACAGAAAAATAAATCGACACTAAAAAATTAAAAAGAGCTCTCCAACTGTTATATTTTGCACAAATGTTAATAACAATCTACCACTCTTTTTACAAGAACATGAAAATGACTATGAAAATCAAAGAGTATCAAAACATTGCGAGCAGATTGCTTGTCGCTAAATTACAAGAAAATACCTCAATGGAAGAATCGAAAAATTTCGCATTATGGTACAAAAATCTATTTAAGGCATTTGTGACAGATCATCAAGAAAAAAGAAATATAACAGGCAAAGTGCTTTTATTTGTTGACAATCGCAACGCATCCTTTCGGAGAAGATTATGCAAGATGATCCTGGTTTCGAAATGTTGTTTTTTTCCGACAAACGCAGTCTCATTTTTTGAATCGCTATATCCAGAAATTATTTAAAAAATCGATCGAACTTTCCATAATTTTGTATTAAAATATATAGATAATTCCTCTTGTGAAGCTAAAGAATTCAATAGAGATTATAATATAAATTATTGTACTAGCATCTGCAAGCCATGGAAACTCATCGCGTCTGAAGATATAGAAAAATTATGGAGAAGATTTTTACGACAAGATCATCAAACACAAGAAGATACTCCGACCTTAAATTCTATCAATTTACAGGATTAATTAATTATATAACAAGAAAGGATACCATTTCTAAGAAAATTTTGGTAATGCAAACTTTTTGCATAGAGACTGAAAGAGAAGAACGTCAAGAATAAAAGGAAAATACTGAAGTCACTGAAAACACGAGAGAAAAGAGAAAGAGAAGACATTCAAAAATATTTTATGCCAATTTATAAATCAGAGAGAAAGCTAATAATGATATAATATAAGAAAATCTCTCAAACAAGAGGCTTCAAATGAAATATCAAACAAAATACTCAGCTCTAGCGGAAAAGTTGAATAATTAGAAAACATTATTGGATATGCGTAAGAAATATCAAAAGAAATATGTGTAAAAATATTGCTTTTTTGTATGTAAAGTTGTTTCGTATTGTGCTATCTCGATATTTGATTATTAAAACATACAATATTATTCTAAAAATGTTGTCCTCATTCATAATGCATTGATAAACTTTTCAGTACCAAGGATTGAAAAAAGATTAAATAATTTCCTAGAACTTTTAAAACACGATCGCGATTCAGCTGTATCTACTTGGGATCAGCGGTTAGAAATTATTATGGTTTTATTTAAAATTTTAATCAGTAATAAGTTTTAATACAATGCCTGAGAAGTTCCGAAATTTTTGTTAATTTAAAATCTTGAAATCGTTTTTGATGGTAACTGAATTCCTGCTCGAAGATACAATTGATGAGGTCAAGATTGAGAGGACGGAACAGCACTACGAGAATTCAAAATGTTTTTCTTCTTTTTATTTTTTTACTGGATTCCCGTTTTTCTTGGATACTGGTTTATATATATATTTTACGTGAGTATTTTACACTGTGGATTTTTTTTTCTATTAATTTTTTCTATCTATTACCGATCTTTGATCTCATGCTCGGTGACGCGTCAACAAAAAAAGGCCCTACACAGTATTACTTTAGTGGGCAACCTCTCGGGCAACTTTTGCCATCTCGGATATCGGTTTTCCGATAAAAACACTTTACTATATCGACAGATAAATACAAGCCGTCAATGTCATCGAGCCGATATCTTAAAAAGCGTCAAAAGAACAACAGATTATATAATTAAATGGAACTTAGCATAGTGTACATTATCATTATTATTGAGAATATTGTGACATTTTAGATTCTGTTTTATTTACATGACTTCAGATATATATGCTGAATTTTTTGAACATGAGGACGAGGAAGATTATGATATGTTAATTTTAATTTGCAAACCATATACTCTTCGACCGCGGTCAGATTTAAATATGTATGATGAAAACAAATTTATTGCACGATTTTGTTTGTGTAGACGTCAACATAACGCTTTCTCTTATTTTACTCCTTTTTTTTGTTGTGAAATATATGATATTTTTTGTGTGAAATATGCAATATTTACATGTTTGTTTTCCTTCTATACGGGCAGAGTTTGGCCAAATTTATTTCAAGTAATAAATTATAAATAAGGAATAGAACACTACAATTATATGTAAACAACGAAGAATATTTTATTTGAAACTAAATATATTTCTTAGCAATCAAGAAATTTTTATTTTTATTTATATTAAAATTTGTTTGACTAAATTAATTCCAATTTTTATTTTAATACAAATTTATTCAAATTGTATATGTGTATACGTGCGCCCAACTTTATTTGTCATCTTATATATCATCTTATTGTAAATTGTAGGCAATAACATCCTAGCAGATATCACTGTGCGTAATCAGAAAACATCGAAAATGCGATAATATTACTGTTAGTGAGTCGTCAAATGACTTTTAAACAATGTTTTTATTTACATTCGTTCGAAACGTTTTTCTCAAGAGCAACTAATCGCAACAACTTTCAGTTACTATCATAATTTTCAACGCTTCCTATCGTGTAGCAAGAAGTTTTTGGAGTCTCTCTGAAATCAGTAACAGTGAAATAAAGTTTTGTATTAAAATAATTTTAGATATAAAAAAGCTCGTTATGTCATCCAAACATAAACTAAAAAGAACTCAACTTTCGAAAGAACAGCACATTCAAATTCAACAGATGTCAAAAGATGGTATCTCTACAAACATAATTGCTGCAGAATTTGGAATTGCTAAATCATCTGTTCGCAGAATAGTGAATAAAGAAATATCAGTGGAGCAAGTAGCAGACATGGAAAGAAAGAGGAGCCGGTTTATCAAATATAAAGAATTGGACCAACAATTGTTTGAATGGTATCAAGAGTGGAAAGCATCGGGGAAGACAATTTCCTACGAGATACTCTATGAAAAAATGAAAGAAATCATAGACAATGTTGAGGGACCATTAAATTCAAACAAGCGTCATGAATGGTTGAGAAGATTTATAAAATATTACGGGATACACACACAATCAAAGCGCATGGTAAAAGTCAATTGTCAAAAGACGGATATGATATTAATTAATTGGTTGTTAAAACAGAAAATATTAGCAAGAGTATTTACAAAATCGAAATTTAATAAGAAAATTCTGAAATTTATGGCCAAGTTTGGTGGATCATTATTATCTTATGGACAAGAAAAGTGGCTGCGCAGATTTAAAAAATGTCATAAAATTTTGACAGAGTCTGTCATTTTGTCAGGAAACAAGCTAACAGATGATCAATCTGATCATAATTTGGATAAAGAACTATTTAATTGGTTGCTAGAGCGGAGAAAATTAGGAAATATTTCGTACGAGATGTTTACAAAGAAAACATTGAAACTTATGGACGAGTTTGGTGGACTGTCAAAAGAAATGCAACAAAAAAGCTGGCTGTGGAGAATTAAGCATCGTTATAATCTGCGAAAGTCTCGAAGGATTGATATTTCGCAAAATGTCAGCCAAAGAGATGACGAAGCTAATCAATCTAATGTGTAAAAATTTGTTCAAAAATTCAGTCAGCGGTTAGAGAAGGAAAATGATTGACAGAGAGAATATTTATAATATGATCGAAAAACATACGTAAAATCTAAAATCTAAAAACACGAAATAAAAACAGAAACAGAAAACACTCAAAAATATTTTATGCCAATTAATAAAAACTAATTAATAATAAAGTAGAGGAAGATTTTAAACAAGAGCTTCAAACGAAATATCAAACGACGTACTCAACTTTGAGGGAAAAATCGAAAAAGAAGAATTTTAAGGGCCGATTGTTCCGATTTCTTGGTAGATTTACCCGTCAATCACCCATTAGGTAAATATCAGTAGTTGTTGTTTTATCTATTGGTAAAGTTTACCTACGAGTTAAATTGTTATCACCAAGAGGTCATTTTACTCGGTATTCCAATTACCAAATAAGGTCTCTATTTAACAGGTAAAGTAATGATCTTAGGTTATATTATGTTTTACGTTATGTTTTATTATTGAGAATATTGTGACGTTTTAGATTCTATTTTACTGACGACATGGCTTTAGATGTATATGTGGAACTTTTTGAACATGAGGAGGAGGAAAATCATGATATATTAATTTTAATTTGCAAACCATATACTCTTCGACCGCGGTCAGATTTAAATATGTATGATGAAAACAAATTTATTGCACGATTTTGTTTGTGTAGACGTCAACATAATTGTGACGTTTTAGATTCTATTTTACTGACGACATGGCTTTAGATGTATATGTGGAACTTTTTTAACATGACGAGGAAGATTATAATTTATTAATTTTGATTCGCAACCATATACTCAACCATAGACTACGGCCAGATTTTTAAAATATGTACGATGCAACCGAATTTATCGCACGATTTAAATTTTGTAAAGAAACAGTTCTTAGAATAGTTGATCTTATAAATTTACAAACAAAAATAATGAGGTAAATACAATCAATAAAATAAAATGGTAGAATATTTATTATGATTTTATTGTAATATAATTAATGTGTAATTAATTATAATATAATAAACTTATCTCTTTTTTATTTTTTAAGGACAATGCTAAACACCAATATATTAGTTATTATTGATGTTGCGTTTCTGCACAACTGGAACTGTTCAGATTACTATAGCTGATTTTGTATTATGAATTCATAAATCTACCGTATGCAGAATTAAAAAAAAAATAACAATCGCTCTGGCTTCTGAATGACATTGTTACATACATTTTCCAGAAAACACAGAAAAAACACGTCAAAAGTTTTACAATATTGTTAAATTTTTTCGTGTCATTGGTGCAATAGATTGTATTCATATTAAAATTCATTCACCAGGTATATTAAGTAAACCATACAATTTAGATGTTTTTTAAATTTATATTTCTCTTGTAAAAAAATTATTGAATATATTTTTATAATTTGTTTAGGCGGATACGAAGTAGAAGTTTTCCGAAACAGATAAAGTATCTTCAGTGTTAATATGCAAACAGTATATAACAGTGAACTACAACTTCAAGAAATGGTAACTCGATGGCCTGGTTCAACTCACGATGATATTTTCGATGATAGTTATTTACATGCCAGATTTGTTCAGGGCGAAATGCAAGATGATCTTATTAGAAGATAATGGATATCCCTGTATTCAATTTTTAATGATTCCTTTATTGCAAACGCGTAATCGTGCTGAAGAATTGTAACATGTTGCAAATACGAAAGCAAATTATTATTGAACCTGCCTTTGCCACTGTTTAAGCTATTGTAATCGCGATAGCAGTATTACATAATATTGCTCGTTAAATAAATAATCTTAATCTACGAGTTAATTTCGAAATGGAACAATCGATTGAAGCAGAATATCATGAAAATGAAACAGCGACATTAAATAATGTTCGAGCTAATGCAAAAAAAAAATATTAATTGATACATGTTTTACAAGAGGTTTGCAATATTTCTAAAATTTTGTTTAAAGAAAGATACTTTTTCAAGATTTAATATTTATCCCTATCTTTCTAGATTACAGCCATAACTTACATTGCAATATATTATCTTTTTTAATCAATTCTTCGATTTTTTGTATAATTGCAGAGAAATGTGAATTATTATTATGTATATATATATATCAGATTATTTAAATATTTTCCATTATATAAAATATATATATAATAAAATAATAAATATCCAACTTACTCTTTTTTTCGTATTAAATTTTAAATAAATAATCTTGTATTATTCTATTCGTCAGATACATCACAATATCCAATAGATATTAAAATGATATTAATGTAACCTTACTTATTAATGACAAGAAATTAGCATTATACAAACCGGAAGTGCATTTTCATACATATCTACTAACTATCCAAAATAGGTATTTATATCATTGAACAACAATGTTAAATGAAACCTGTCGGTAAACTGATGTGTATATTTTATCTGTAAGATAGCCACCTATTAGTTAGTAATTTTCCCAAGAAGTTGGAACAATCGGCCCTTTTAGTGCCGTGGTATCTCGCAGCGAACGGTAAAATCGAACACGCGGGAAAAACAGATCGATTGCCGTCATAGCGCGGAGTTAATATCGACGTGGCAATATGCTAATAGGTCACGGTATCACGACATTTTATTGTTAAAGTTTAATGAGATCAGTGATATTGATCATAAAGGTTACCGCGGCAGATAGCGGAGGCTAAAATAACGCAGTGACCTTTACGATCGCGTGTATGATATCGACATAATGTCCGGCGGTATAGTACCACCACTGATTACATTACTTTTTTTTTTCGCGATCTAAACCCGTTCCGTGTAAACTGAATTATCTATGCACCGCGATCGGCATGCTCATCTTACGCAATGCCGTTCCACCACGTGGATTTCATTGTTTCCTGAGTTTCCGCGAGTTAAAATTACCTCCATTACCTCGATGATTTTTTTTTCGCAATCATCGCGTTGTCATGCGCAAGCATACTCATGTTTTTTTTTTTTTTTTTAAATTAGCACATGCAGCATTGTAAAAGATGCTTTAGGAAGAATACAATCTTCTTCGTTTGTTCACTTTAAAAAATAATGTACTTAAATATCTTTGAGAATTTCGATTACTGACAGCTGTGCCGATTAAGCTTTTTGCGAGGTTGAGTTGCAATTCAAATGACTATATCGCGGGGCTTAAATCATGCACTGGCGTATGCAAATACGCATTCCGCAGCGGGAACCATCGTCATCGCGATGCTGCGGAACGTAAACCTTCCATAACAGTCTACGCAAATGGATCTGGTCTGAATTGCGCTTTAACGCGTTCGCGGGCATACGCACGTGTTCGCGAGATCACGCATAGCTAACACGGTTGTTAGATACAGGGCGTAGGTAGGTAGGTAGATCTACTCTCCCTGCCTACGGTGACTGCCCGTCGAGAGCCGATGAACCCCGTGTGCTCCGAACGAAACCCTGGAGGTTGAGGCAAGGTGGCGGCCCCGGGGCGTCGGGTCACCCAGATTTCAATCTAGATACAGCATTCCACGGTTAATTAGTACTGGCTGACTGGCCATGAGCTCCGTCATTGGGACGAACTCCTGCTACGCGCGTAGACTATCCGCAGCGCCCATCGTGAATCACACGCGGGCGTATGTGTACGTACACGTGATAGGTTACGGCGAGGTGTTTATGTATACGTTATGTACACGCATACGTCTAGTCATTACACGTGATGCTTCTCGTATCTGTATTTGCACGAGCCGGTAGCCGAGCACTGCTCGACTCGTCGTCGAGCATGCGAAACGATCGATATATATCTGGCCGACTGGCACGTTCGCGGCCAGTCGATAATTCGATTCCAAATATAAGTAGCCTTTATTTCGGCCGATTTTTAAGTGATTGGGTGCGAGTCGTAGTCTGACATGTTCGAATTTTGGGTATGCAGATATTTTATCGTGGACCCTGCGTAGCCTAGGTCACGGAATTTAATTTCAAATCGAGAATCTCACAACACGATTTATTAATCTAATAAATCGTGTTATGAGATTCTCTATTTGAAATAATGAATATATATTCATTATTTCAAACGATATATATATGCTATCTTATCAGATTGAGAAAGGAAAAGGATTTGGGTAGAAGTACGCTTCAAGATTTCAGTTTATATTTTTGTTTTTTCCAGAGTCTATGATTTATTATCGTATACATGGGGCGATGTCTAAAAAAATTATTCATCATTAGATTTTTATCTCTGCATTCTTATAATTTTTCTGGTCGGCGAGGTACTTGCATAATACTTGCAAAATTTATAGAGGAAATATTCAGACACGCAGCACAATTTCGCAGCGTAATTCGCCACGATATTAAAAAAAGGCAGTAAATCGCAGTAAATCGTACGGAAAGCTAAACTGGTGTTGATCAACTTATGTATTCTCGTGTTGTCATAACATTTCTCACCTGCGAAAGTCGCGAAGATTTGCGCACGACTTTGGAGACATATTGGTTTGATTGTGAAAGAAAGTTAAGGCCGAGAAAAGAAGGATTCGCGCGCGACCAACGGCAGTGCATTGTCGTGCGCCAGGAAACGTTTCCGAGAGGAGAAACGAGATCGAGAGACGTCGATCGATCGATCGCACGACGTCCCGCTCAGGATGCAAAGAAACTTCTCGCCGTCGTGTTTCTCCTTGTTTCGCCCATCGACACGACGGAGAGCAAGCGCGCGCGAATAAACGAAGATATACGCGCGACACGCGAGCACTCTCACTCTTACCCGGAAACAGAAGGTCGCGCGAATGCAAGAACTGCGATTTAATCTCTCCCGCGATTCCGCAATAGGACATTTTTTTTTTCCACTTACATCATGCACTTGATAAATCTTTCCAGTTTTAATTGATTCCTGAAGCTAGAACTTTTCATTCTCAGAGATTTATTATAAAAGTATATTGCTTATCTCGTAGTCACGCGTGACCTTTCGCCTAACCAAAATCGCGAATCCGGTCGAGAGTTAATTACGCTTCCACCGTCATCAATTACAATTACGGACAGGTCGGAAATCGCCGACGTAAATCCATCCCTGCAAAACAATAATCCTATCCACGGCGCGGTATAGCCGGGGACTCGGTCGATCTTCAGCGGGATCAAGATCTTAAAGACGCCCGGAGGTTGCCTTAAGGTCGAGGAAACAACGTGCAGGACAGACGGCAGCAACAGCAGCGCACAGCAGGCTGCAGGAGCAATCTCCCGGACAATTAGCCCGCAGTTCGTGACGGGTACCTCCTCCTGGGTCCTCTCCCGATATGCCTTTCTGCTTCTTCTTCTTCTTCTTCTTCTTCTTTGGCTCCCCCTTGTCCTCCTCTACAACTGACCAGGATTCTTCCTCTTTCCCGCTCGATTCTCCCCCTCCTCGTCGCAGCCTTTCCTTCTCTTCTCGCGGCCTCACCCTACCACTTTTTCTCTCATCCGAAGAGACGAAGATAGACGCCGGAGAGACAGAGAGATAGATAGAAAGAAAGAAGGAGAGAGCGAAAATAGAAATAAGAGAGAGAGACAAAGATCCTACGTCTCTTCTTCCCAGAGAATCTCGGAGATCCTACACTCTATCTACCGTTTATACCCTAATGACCTGGCAGGTGCGGCGCCGGCGTGCCCTCTTCGTACGGGGCCACCCGGTACGTGATGCCTCCGAAAGGATCCGTGAGATCAACG